CCCCCTCAGCCGACCGTCGGGGCACGTATGACGTTGGATGGGCCACGACGGTCGGCGGGATTAAGACGGCGGTCGGGTGAAAATCCCCCTCAGCCCACCGTCGGGACACGTATGATGTTTCGTGAGCTACATTGATCGGTTGGCTCAGAACGGTGCTCGGCCAATGGGGCCATCCAACCGACGGTCGGGCGTTGGATGGGGTTCGGTCAGTCAAGGCGGTCAACGGTGTATTAATGGCTACCAGCTTCTAGATCGTGTCAATAGAACCTCTAATGGTACCTTGATCGTAGGAAATACATTCAGAACCATTCCCACTCGTCTACAGGTCAATATACTAAAACGCCGCCTTGCCCGCCTTGAGCTCGGCCGACCCCATCCTCTTCGGTGAGACGTTTTTGGTCGGCCGACGTCGGCCCACCCCATCATGTTTCGCGAGACGACATGTCGGCCGTCCGATACCCTTCGGTAAGACGGCTGAATGGGCTCGTAGTCCTCGCCATGTAGGATATCGTCGCGCACAGGGAGATGGCCACCAGTCTCGCGAAGCTGCGATAGGATCTTCTCGGTCTGCTCGCGGCGATAGCGAGCAGCGCGTGCACCCTGCGGAGAGCGTCGCAAGGCTTGTAATTGGGGACCGATGGGGATAGTCGAGAAGCGGCGAGAGGCCGCCTTCTCTTTCCCACCGCTGCGTCTGAGTTTCTCCTGGTCGTAACGGGGCTCACCACAGTGAGGGCAGGACTCGAGTTCGGCAAAGGGGCCCGTGTATGCGATGCAAGTCCCAGGGCACATATCCGTGAGCACCGGGACAACACCAGTCAGCTCGGCGATTTTCTTCTCGACCTCGTACAGTGACAGTGTCTTGTCTTCCGGATAACGTTTGTAAAGTACGTCGCGGACCGATGTGTAGGTGCTCTGTGAGCTATTCTGAAGCTCCATGTATAGCCCCAACGACTTGAGAATGTCCGCGTCCGCAAGACAGACCTCATGTTGTGGCGGATGGCGCAGGCGCTCGACTGTCTCCTCATCCAGAGGGCCGTTTGTGTGCGTCGCAGACTTCAGACCATCAATAAAGGCGATACTGTGACGGAGGTCGTCTAGATGTGCGATGTATTCTTCTGGCTCGTCGGCGGGGTTGGCATCGTCCGGCTGCATGTCCACATTCCCTGCTTCAGGCTGATCCGGGTTTACGTCCTGCATGCCGGCGTGATCTCCGAGTCCTGCCTCATGCGGGTTCTGGATCTCCGGGCTCCCTGCGCGCATCGCGGCGGGGTCCATGTTCTCGTCTGCATGCGCATGGTCCGCAGGAACCCCAGGCTCGTGAACATGAGGTATATCCATGCTCCCGGTTGCGCGGGCACCATCCGCATGGCCAGACGCCTCGAGAGACTGCATGACAATTAGAAATTGCATGCTAGCAAGAGTAGTTCTAAACATACCATAGCCCCCATTGATTTCGCAGACTCGCTTGTCCCTGCGCCACCCAATGTTCGTCCTCCCAGGTCGCGAATTGATGCAGCCTATGAGCCAGTTCAGGCAAGTTCAATGATTGCCCTGACCTATGGTGGGTTGCACGTACCGACTGCGACACTCCAACATCGTCCCTCCCATGCCCTTCGATATCCTCCGTATCATCCCGGCGTCTCTTCGAAGAGAGCGGTGTTACACCATCTTGAAGTGCAGCTTCGCCTGCTGTACGGCGCGATGGGACTTGAATGGAAGGTCCTTCGTGACGGTTTGCAGCAGCACGAGCAGTGTGGGCTTGTGCAAACTCTTCAAAGTTGGGCAATGGGTTCTCGCGGTCGCGGAAGATTTTGTGTAGGCCGAACGTGCTTGGTGCAACTAATCTGCTCCCTTTGCATTTCTCGAGGCAGGTGCACTCAACTCGAACTTTGTCGTTTTGGGTCGGCATTGCACACTTGTCGGAAAGACAGGATAATGGGATTCGATTCGACAGCAAAGGGAGGGATGTGTAGAAGAGAGCGGCAAATCGATCGAAAATTAACGAGACACAGATCACGAGACCGCGACTCAACCGCGACTGGTGCTTGCACGCAAAGCCCTTCAGTCGCAAATTGCACGTCGGAACGCGGAAAGAGTGACACACGGGGAAATGAAAGAGAGATGCGGCGAGTTTCGCGAGACTGGATTCACTTGAGCTCCACAAGGGCGGGGATACATCGATTCAATTAGATTTCTATCGGTACAATTCTTTTCTCTTAGCTCTCGTTGACAGGTATTAGTACTACTTCGCTCAAATTCTTTTGAATTCGGGTCAGTTTTGACTGGGGTTCAACTCCCTGAGTGTCCATCGCTGGCAGTCTGCCATCGCTTTTGTCGCGCAATCTGATCAGGAGCACTTACATATGTACCTTTCGCGCGGACTCGCTCGGAAGCTATATGTATATATGAACAGCTCAGGTTCTACACAAACCCGCGCGCAGCGCCGTTTAGACCTAGATCGAGACTGATGACCAACTGGCAGTCAACTTTTCATGACGAGGCGGGAAGTGTGGGAGTGACGATGAATGGGATGACGCGCTTCGGGCGGCGCAGACGCGTGAGCCCGCCGCGAGCTTGACTTAAGCTGGAGGTAAGCTTACGGCGCGTGCGGCGCGATCGGTGCAGTTCGTCGCTTCCCCATTGCGGGCGACAGAGAGCCTGTGAGCTTGGGGTGAGCTAGCTCGTAGACAGAGAGAGGGAGCATTCAGGACGTCAGCGTCGACACAACGAGAATCGTTCTGGTGTGCGGACGCCTCGGACAGCCCCGCTGCCTTCGAATTCGTTCAGGATGCAGATCACAACCAACCTTCCACATTTATTGCGAAGCCCTGAGCGTCCTAGGGGAGACTTCTCAGTCTCGAGGTAGCTTGACGGATTCGGTCGACATCCGAGATTCGCTTGAGCTTATGTCGTATCCTGTCATCGAGTCGACTTCAGATTGACGCGGTACGCCAGTGGGTACCTGATGAGTCGATGACGCCGAAAGGTTGTGCTCTATTCGATGGCGCTAAAAGTCGTTTGACAGGGATAGCTACAATGACGAAGCCCTGTAAAACAGAGGTCAACGTAGCGTCGTCGTTGTGAGAGTGTGTGCGGCGGTTCGGTGCAAGTGCAAAACTCAGAGACGTGCTCGCGTTCGAATTCAGAGTCACGCGTCAACGCGTTTGTGGCGTGGGAAGTGCTGGCGCGCACGTCCCCATGGCACACATTCTCCATCCGACCTCGTAGATGCGTCTACGATCTAGTCGCGAGGTTATGCACTGCTGAAGAATACTCATCCCAACTTGATCACCACAGCTATGCAAATCGAAGTTGTAAACTTCAAAGTTGGTGACTCGTCTACCTCACTCCCTCGACGACTTACACACATTTAGTTATACGTACAGCTTCGACGTGTTGCGTAAGCAGGCCACAGTGCTCAGAGAGGCTCAGAGTTCATCCGCCGAGGACCCACGTCCAGGACCGTCCGTTTTTCCATACCACAAGCCCTCTCTTTCTTTCCAAGCCTCCTGCCAGCGATTTGCATTCCCAATTGCTTCCATAGTCAGAACGTTCGCGCAAAGGACGGCCGGATTCATACTTGTCCTTAGGGCTTCCGTGGTATCACATGGTTCAATATTGTGAGTGCTGGACCGGGGGCGGAAGTATCACGGAAAACGTAATGGTGTGATAACCGTAACTTGAACGGCCGTACCTTCCGTTGTTGTCTCCGCTTCATCGTTCATACCTTCGCCTGCGCTGCCTTGGCCTTCTGCTTCTGACCCACTCACTCAGTAGCCCGTCGACAATTGAAGGAGGAAAGCAGTGTGTCCCTACTCCGCAATTGGCCGACTCGCGTCATCGACGACCTTCGACGACCCACGATCGACAGGCATCAAGCTTGCATAAAACCGCTGTCCTTCGCAGAAAACTATGGCTAGTCAATGACGTATGTTATCTTAGAATCCGCACCAGGCGAAACTATATATGGTGACAGACGTCGGAGTCCTGGTATTATATAGAGACCATGTCCAGCTTCGCAAGGCTTTACTCAGATACCCCTCCCTCCCACGATGGTCGAATTCAAGGGATACGCACTCACCAGTAAGCTTGGCCCTCCTGTCCCCTCCCGTCCGCCTCACTAACTGCTCGTCCGCACTGCGCAGAGGCTGATCGCGCCGCGTGGAACTCGCTCGAGGTGGTCGAATTCGAGCCAAAGAAATTCGAGGACACCGACGTCGAGTTCGCCATAACGCACTGCGGCCTGTGCGGCTCCGACGTGCACATCCTGCGACAGGGCTGGGGGGATGTCGCATATACGCCGCTCGTCGTCGGGCATGAGATCGTCGGCAAGGTCGTCCGCGTCGGCCCGAAGGTCACGGAGTTCAAGGCCGGCGATCGCGTCGGCGTGGGCGCGAAGGTGGGCAGCTGTGGGACGTGCAACAGGTGCACGCACGACAACGAGCAGTACTGCACTGCCTCTGTCAGCGCTGTGGTACGTCCCATGTCGTTCTGACTCCGCCCGCGTGCCAGTCCGTTGACTAGTAGTTCGTGTCCCGCAGAACAGCCGTTTCCCTGACGGGACCCCCGTGCAGGGCGGGTTTGCTACCGCCATCCGCGTCGACGAGCGCTTCGTGTTCGCCATTCCCGAGGGGATCGAATCCAAGGATGCTGCCTCGATGCTTTGCGGTGGCGTCACAGTTTTCTCGCCACTGCGGCGGAACCACATCGGGCCGGGAACGAAGGTCGGCGTGATCGGCATCGGGGGTCTTGGTCACTATGCCATCCTGTTCGCGAAGGCATTGGGCGCGAAGGTGTACGCCTTCACGCACAGCCCGAATAAGCAGGAGGATGCGAAGAAGCTCGGCGCGGATGTTGTGGTCGACACTGGAGTCGAGGTATGTTCTAGCGCTCATTGCACCGCCTGCCGACCAACTGACGTCTTGCGATTCTCTGCTACAGGACTATCAGAAGCCCTACTTCGACACGCTCGATCTGATCATCTCGACGACGAACGTCTTCCCAAAGGGCGTCACCTACTTCACCTACACAAGCATGCTCACGCCGTGCGGCAAGTTCGTCAACGTCGGCCTGCCCGACGCCGACAAGGACATGCCCTCCCTGCAGGCGTCCGACATCCTCTGGAACGGCACGTTCGTTGGCGGCTCCCTCGTCGGCAGCAAGCGCGACGTCAACGAGATGCTCAAGGTTGCGGCGGAGAAGGGTGTGAAGCCGTGGGTGCAGGAGCTGCCGATGCGCGAGTACAAGACCGCGCTCGAGGGGGTGCATAATGGAGACGTGCGCTACCGTTATGTGTTGAAGCAGGATCTCGTGCCGGTCGAGTAGGCAATCACGGCATTCGAAATTACATACATATCATTATCATCATGCAGAACATGATGAGTAGACGGTGTGCGCACGTGGTCGTTGTCTTCTCACTGGCACAGCTGCCACTGCCAGAGCCCAAATAGAAATAGGGCGCTTACGCGTGTACAAGTGGGACGGACGTGGTCCTTGCTGGCTCTTGCTAAGTTGCTGGTCCTCGTCTTCTCTGAATAAGTACACCGTGCGTACTTGCAGTGCGAGACTTCAGCTCAATCTCTTGTACATGATTCTTCACAGTGAATAATTTCACCGACGATGACTCGGCTATTGGTGCTGTCAATCAATGGTGACCGGTCGTCGCACTGTTGTGCTTGACTCGCGATACCTCCGCGACCTGGGATTGTGATAATGGTGCGTATACATACTTGACCTGCGAGCCCCATGGTTAGCTCATTGACCGCAGTATCTTATTTTACTGTAGTCGCCCGACGTAGTCCCGCGTCATCGACCGTCAATGGTAGTAAGCTAAATTTACAAGCACAAGCACAAATTCCAGCCGACCGCTCACTGGTTGGCTACATCATATGCGTTGCGAAGTACCTACGGTACTGGCACAATGTCCTGCGTCAACACGTATCGGTATCGCACGTCCCCGTTGTGTACCGCCTCGAGAGCAATCTTATAATCCCGCATAGGTAGTTCCTGGATCCACGGCTTCACGCCCTTCTCGACGGCAACCTTCAACATCTCGTAGCAGTCGGTCTTGCTGCCGACGTACGAGCCACCGATGAAGGCTCCGCTCGTGAGCATGTCGAATGCCTGGAGCGGCGGCATGGCCTGGTCGCTGT